TGATACTTCCTTCACAAATTGCCTTGTTTTTACCATATACGAAGAACATTATCGGTATTGTTCTTATAGTATTGAAACCGACGACCTAGTGTTTTATACATGAAATTGCATCTAAGTCTCACCCATTCACTCCTCTAAGACTAGCAAAGGTTATTAAATTCTTATTTAGGGTCTTGGAGGTAAAAAATGTCATATTTCATGCTTATAAACATCAAATATGAAATTTACTATGGATTTACTCTAGCATGCTTTCATGAGCAAAACAAACCATGCATGCACATTTAATGACCTACATGTGGTATGAAAAAGTTAGAATCGTGACCTTGATGCTAGGTGACTGAAAAAAAATCCTTGAATCACCTAAGATTTAGCTTCTCCTTTCCCCTTCTCTTAGAGCTCTCACCCTTCTCTTGAACTAATCAAAACCATGAAAATGAGTTGTTAACTCATTTTTGAACTTAAGGTGATGTGATCCTGTCTAGCTCCAACTTTCTCCATGACTTGATCACACCATGAATGTTATTCAAAGCTGGTCCTAAGGGAGTTCTTCCTTAATTTATCCTTTATTATCTTCTATATGCATCACATAATGGTATAAGCATGCTTTTGCTCCTAAAACTATGCTTGAATAATCATATGTTATCATTCACTTGCATACTATATGATTTTTATGCATAACATATGTTTCCACATCTTTACTTAGCTTTATATTATGTTACATATGTTTTAGATTCATTTATTATGTTTGCATATCATGGAAGCATGTATTCATTCATTCATTAACTCATGTCATGTTATTCTAGCTCATGTTATATTTACATTAGCTCACTAGATTTAAATCCATGTTTCTTTAGCTCATTTGCATGCATGCATCTATTTTCTAGCTCATACATGTTTTCTTAAAGCTCATGAATGTCATATTCCTTCTATCTAGCTTATATACATGTAATCTTAGCTTCTAGATGACATTCATAGCTTATATCACTCAAACACCTCACGGCATCATGCATTTTACCTTAAATGAGCTCACACATTGCTTACTTTATTTGTTTGTTGATTCATATAGGCGAAACAAAAAACAAGGCATATTACGGTAGCTTGGTTATCTAAGGACAAGCATAGAAGCTCACACTAGCTCATGAACATTATGGTAGCTTATTTCATCATTTAAGGAGCTTCAACTTAACTAGAGGAGCTAGCATGTAGTTGAACGTAGTTGGAGGAGAGCTTTGGACCAAATTACTGAAAACAGGACTAAAGATAGCTGGAAGTAGCTGGGAGAGTAGCTGAGGATCTAAGAAGACCAAAGCTAACTAGCTTGAGTTCATCAAGCATAGCTCACCTAGTTAGCTACCAAGACACTCACCTAGCTTATCTTGAAGCTAGTTCATCTCTAGGCTGCCCAAGGACTTCAAGACATCATCCTATGGTTGCAACATCACCAAAGTATTGCAAGAAGACCCATGTGCATTCAAGTAGGCTGCCATGTGCCTCATTCAAGTATGTGCACTCCATGTGACATCAAATAGGTGACAAAACACCAAAGGATGCTTCCTATTCAGCCAAATACTCATTCCTTTTCATTTTGGCATCCAAATAACTTTCAAATGCCTTAAAAACATCCTTAGGGCCGAACCAACACCTTACCATTCGGCCAAGAGCATGTATCTTCATTAAAAACATGTATTTTCATTAAAAAATCATGTATTTTCAAAGGGGTTTCAAACTTAGCTGAACCATCATGTGTTTATTCGGCCTAAACCTTTTAAAAACTATAAATAGGATATTACAATTCATTTTTAATCTTAGCCCTTTGATAATATAAATCTTTGTGAGATTATTCTCTCTTCAAGTTCTTTTTAGAACTATATTGATTAAGAAAGCTTATGAAGTTTGTGCCATCAACCTCTTCCATAGATACTTCGAGTTCCTAGTTCCTATAACTAGTGGGCTCAAGTCCTTGCTACCATCCCTTATAACGACTTATAAGAATCGGGTCTTTACTCATCTATAGCATTGGTTCATTCTTAGTCTTATAAGATACTATCTAATCACCACCATCTTCCATTACTTCACGCCTACAACATCTTCACTACCATCACCATTCCATCACCATAAAACCATCCTTCAATCATCAACAAGGAAAGCATCCATCATCACTATTGGAGCCCGAATCCTTTACATTTGAAGGACAAATCAACAACACTTCTGCAACCTATCTTTGATAACATTTCTATCCATTTCAGTTCTTTCCATTTCCATTTCCTTTCTTAATTATCAAGTTACTTAATCAATTTTTCTTTTATTGTGTAGATTACTTATTGATTCAAGTGTAGCATTTGGTGTCTCTCCTAGATCGGGAAACAACAAGGCTGCCAACTTCTCCATCCTTGAAGAAGCTTGGATAGTCTTACACCATAAGGGAGTACTAGAAACAATTTTTACAACTCAAAACTCCCCAAGACCAGATTATAATCCTAAGGTTTCATAAACCCCACTAAAACTCTTTTTGGTTAACTAAGCCAAATCTTATAAATGATGGTTTAAATGAAACCTTAGAAGTTGTAGTTTATGATTCTTACCTTAGAATTCTTATGGGATGCTTGGATTTCTTAAAGTTTCTTTGTTCTTGCTTTTGGGGGAGATGAAGTTTGGGAGAAGAAGAAAACAAGAAGATGGTGAAAAAGAGGAAATGGAGTGCATACGTGAGATCACCAATCTCACCAATTTTTAACAGCTTTATTTTTTAACAATGGTATAATTACTTCCTTAGTCCTCCTAATTTTGGTTGCAAACTAAAAATGTCCTTTATATCCACTATTAGATTCAATCCAAGCCCGAACTCTTCTCATATTGAGTTAAGGCTTCCTATAACCCTAGGAATTTATCTAAAGTCTATCTCGAGTTAGCCCAAAACTCCTAACCCGAGATTCGGGGCGTTACATTGTAACCGTTTGTAGATCACGAAAACTTTTATTTCCACATTTAGGTCGATTACATGGACATCTAATATTTCCACGATCCGTGAATCTAGGCTTATATAACGCAAATGTGATAAATTCCAATAGTGGCCGCTCAAACTCAAGAATAATAATGTGATCATTTATTAGCCTATCAATATTGTAAATCCAAGATCAAATCATACTAAATACCAAAACCTGTTTTATTATATATATTATTAAATTAAAATAATTAAATTAGTAAACTTTTAAATAATAACTTTTTATTACTATTTTTAAAAATTTTCTAAAAGAACAAGAACTTATGATATTATAATTGTAAATTACATGTAAAAATATTTTATTTACTCTTCATATATATTATTATTTTATTTATTTCTAAATAAAACAAAAGGTAGAACTTATGACATTATTAAATTACATTACATGCAAAAATTAGTTTTCTTTACTGTTAATATATTTTGTATCTTTAAGTTGAGAAGGATAATGATAATAAATTGATAGCACTATATTTAAAAAAAATAAACTTACCTCAACGCACAAATCCACTAGAAAATTTTAGAGTTCCGCAAAAGAAAAAAAAGCATTACAAACAAAATTTAAAAATCATTTGGATGACAATATGATAACAAAAAACCACAACTAAGTAACAATATATAGATAACAAAATAATAACATACTTACATATTAAAAAATAAATATTTAATAATAAAAAATTTAATTTCAAGTACATCCTTTATGCCATCAACTAAAGTTTAAACTTTGACCTAACAAAGTTGTCATAATTAACAATTAAGAGACCAAAAAAAATAAGGGTAGCTCACCATAATACAACGAAGTTAAAAATGCAATATCAATGTGGAAAGATTTTACACCAACAACATGGACACGAAAACTTCTAAAATTAATAGAAATATATCGATAAAGCGAACATATTATCGAGTATATTATATATAAATCATGAAAGTAAATAGTTAAATCATTTATATAAATAGCAATTTTCAATCTAGAATTACAATATAATAATCAACAAAAAGAAAAAAAAAGATATATGCATATAAATCAACAAAAAGAAACAAATAAGAGATAAATGCATATAAATGCTTAATATAATATAGAATATAAAAATAAAAATACTTACATAAATTAGTTTACAATCTAAAATATATTCACCATAAAATATTAAAATTTTGAAAATAGAAAAGAAAAGAAAGTATAAAAACTAGAAAAGTGTAGAAGAAACACTAACACGGGTGCCACAGCTCCAAACTTGAAACAAGAGGAATTTTAAACAGCAAATTAGTGAAATATACAAGTGGTCCCGGGGATGCCAGCTCCTACCAACGGGGGAGAATGCAAAAATTAAAATGAAATAGAACTGTCATACGAGTGGTTGGTTTGGGAGCTTGAAGTAATTAATAAAATTTTAATGAGATATAATTAATGTTTGTATTTGGGGGTTGAAAAGAGAGTTGAGTATTAAAGGTGTCATGTACTTGTTTTTTTTTATATTTTTATTCTTTTCTAATGGAATAATTGTTCCGTCACAAAATAAATTTGTATTTTTTTATTGAAATGAATAGAATTTTTGACGGAAAAATTAATTACATCGAAATTTACAACTAAAATCAAAATTTTGTGACGAAATGTTTTATTTTCATCAGTAAATTATGATGGATTTTAAAGATATCGGAATTTCTCCCTATGAAATTTAATTTTTTTCATAGTGTTTATTCTTTAACATTCATTATTAACTTGTGTATTTAAATATGAAAAAAATAATATTTGTTAACTTGTTCAATAACATCATATCAAAGTAGCTAAATATTTAATCAATATATATAATTATATCAATTTTGTTAATTATCATGTAAATATTTAACCAATATATATAATTATATAAACTTTGTTAATTATCACGTAAATATATAATCAATATATGTAATTATATAAACTTTGTTAATTATCACGTAAATATTTAATAATTATATCAATTTTTCTAATTGTCAAATAAACACTTCCGTTTTTTCGTTTTGTAAAATGGGACAGGGGATTCATGGAAGGAATGGAGTCGACAATAGAAAACTGAGAAATGGAGGAAGATTTTGGTCGAATGGCAAGGATGAAAACCACCTAATCAATGGTCATGGTGATAGAAATGGTTGTTTCACGCTGTTCATTGACAACTTACAGGAGAATCTTTATTGGAAGGGGCTTTGGGCCATATTTTGCTCTCATGGAAATGTGATTGATGCCTTCATTCCAACAAAAAGAAGCAAGGGAGGGGCTCATTTTGGTTTCATAAGATTTGCAATGCTTTTAGAAGCTAGAACTGCAGTAACAAGGTTGAATGGTGTTTACATTTATGGAAGTAGAATTGGAGTCTCTATGGCTAAATACAACCCTCGACAATCATATTGGAGAAATGTTGCCCCTGATATTCTCCGAAGTCAGTCAAGAAGTGCTAAGGATGCTATAAGGAATGACCTTTCTTCGGTAGAAGACGTGATTGATGAAAACAAACTTAAAAGTTTTGAGATATTATTTGGTAGGCTGGTGCAAGAACTTTGTTATAATTAAAAACTTTGCAGGTCAATTGATAATGAGAATTGTTGGTGACGTTGTTTTATTGATGTTTGAAAATATTGATGTTACGAGAAGAATGCAGATAGAAAGAGCAGAAACTTTCAACTTTCAAGGAGTGTTTCTCTAGAATTGAATATTGGCCGAAAAACCTGGTAGTGGGGAGTCGTCGGGCATGGATAGTTTGCGAGGGAATTCCAATTCATTCTTGGAACTAGGATACTTTCAAGAACATTGCAGCTAGATGGGGGCAAGATCATTGCAATCGATGGAAGTTCTGAATACCCCTCGTCTTTTGATCGGGCTAAGGTTCAAATAATTTCTAATGCTCGTAATAGAATCCTAGGAAGCACGGGGATGCCATAGTTGTGCCGTTTCAAGTACCTGATACATCCCCGGTACGGGGACGGCCAGGGTACATACTGGGGACGTGCCACAGTAGTAGGGTACGACTGAACGACGTCTGGGATGTTTCACCGAGACTTGGGGATGTTTCGGGGATGACATATGACTTTCACATGCGTCCCCAATATCTTTTTTTGTCATTTTCCATTTAAAAAAAACTCACAGCAAAACCTAATTTTATAGCTTCTCAATGCCCTCTTTCTTCTCTCATCGTCTCTCAACTTTCATCATCAGAAATTAGAAAACAATTTTCTTTCGTTCCAAAAACTAAATTTGTGCCGATGAAGTGAAGTCTTCCAGGTTTCAAACTTTCAGTTGGCTATGTAAGTTCTCCATTTCTCTACGTTTTTCAATTTCTTTTCTCTACCCTTTTCAATTTCTTTTCATTACCGAATATCCTTTGAAATTTAAAAAGTGTTGGTTTTTATTTTTCTAGTAGTAGCAGTTTCGATTTCTTAAGAACAAAAAACATAGTATAACAAATTCCATATTCGAAATAGGATAGAACGAAATCCATTTTCCGGCAACCTTTTTTCAATTCGAAGCAAAATAGATTAAGGTTAGATCATCACATTGTCTTGTTCGAGTCCGCCTTTAGGTTGTCGGAGACTAAACTCTTAAGCACTTCAATAGATGTAGGATCTATATTGAATCATTGATTTTATCGAATACGGAATATCCTTTTATATTTATTAATAGTAGTCTGTATGTAACTTATATTCACATCTCTTTTCACCTTTTATATTCGCAAAATGAACTACTGAAAAAGAAAATCAAAGTCAATAAAGAACCTTAGGTTTATTTCACATGTTTCACTATGTTTATTTGATCTTTTCGTTCATTGGTTTAGGAGTTAGGTTTTATTAAAATCATGTAAACATTAATCACTATTATGTTTATTTGACTTTATTTATGATTATATATATATTTATAATTTTAAAATTATTTTATATGTCATATCTTTGTCGTTCTCGTACCCTATAATTTTAAAATTTGTTGTTTATCATCTCCGTCTCCGTATCCGTGCAACATAGATAGAATCAATGAATCTATTGAATTGAAGCTTGGTGATAAAACCTTTAATGTCTTGGTGTATGAAGTGGATCCAGTTTTTAAGCCAAATTCATGGGTTCCTTGAAGCCAATAATTTTATTGCAGATAACTCAAGGAACGTTGGGCAGAGAGGGATAGTTGGTGTGGTAACGGGGAATTTAAAATCATTAAATGATGGGCTCTGTTCCCCAAAAGCTTTGGAGAATCCAATTTTAAATGATAATGTTTCCCTAGGTTTGTGCAGTCCCGATATCGTTTTGGGAGAAAACATATTAAAAGAAGGGATTTAGGCTGTTGATATTAAAGTTGGGTTGGAGAATGTGCTGAACCAACTCGGAGCTCAGGCTATCATTAAGGTAAGATGCTCTGAACCAGTACGTATTAAAAATTCTTTTCGCAAACCTATCGCTAATAAGAAATTCAGCTCTATGATTGAAACCCATAATAAAGTCTTAATTGCAACGGAAAGAAAGAAACGAGTCAAAGCTTCGAAGAAACAAAGACTCAAGGATCGAGGAGTCAAAGAGTGTGATTCGATTTAACTCTGAGCGAAATGGTGTCCTTCGTTCTCATGTACATGGTTGTGGCACTTTCATATATTTTGAGATGCTCTTGTGGGGGTCTCCTTGGTCGTGCCTATAGAAGTAGCAGCGGTTGGATCCTTGAACTATAGGAGTGGTGGCATAGGTGTTTAGCTTGAGTCGGGCAGCGGTTTATTTATGAGATGTCATCAGGTTTTGGTTTTAGTCTTGCTGCAATTTCGGGTTATATTCCGTGGGTTGAGATTTCGCGTAGTTTTGGGTCGTTATTATGAGTAATAGCTTGTATCGGATGATGAATGCTTTGTTTTTCTTAGAGGTTCGTTATGGATTTTGGTCGCTTTTGTGTAGCTTTGTTTGACACTGATTCAGGACATTCTTTTTATTATACTTAGAGAGCTTTTTATTATACTTAGAGAGGTTTTTATTATATTTAGAGAGGCTCTAATCTTTGTTATTATTTTATATGTTCGGTTGAAATTAACAACATACATAACGCCCTTTCAAAAACAATAATAAATTTAAAACTTGTATTAAATACAATTTATAACACATATAATCTATTTAATTATAAAAAAATTTATATTTTTTAACTGATTTACGTGTTCTTATATTTTATAATTGGTCTAAATTCAAATCCTCATTTAAATAATTTTATTTTATTTTTTCTATCATTAACGGTATTATAAGATGAATATAGTTTGTGTAATACATAACCAAATGAAGCACACTTGGCCCAGTGACTTGCGTTTCCTTCTTTCAACCAAGTGACCATGTTTAAACTCTAAATGTAAGTAATCTTTGATTTATTTTCTATCAAATTAAGAGGTAACACATGTCACTATTTGATTGAATAGAAAATAAAATTTAATTAAAATTAAAATTTATAAAAAAAAAAGTCTCCAATCATGAGTTAACACGTGTTAGATGTGATATGTGTCATGACCACATGTTAACACATGTCACCTCCCGATTGAATGATTAATTTATTAAATAAAATTAAAATTGGGATCAAATTGGTTGAATGAACAAGTATTAAGGATCTAATATATAATTATACTATTTTTGTTAACAGCCATATAAACACTTCCGTTAAATGTTAACGACAAGTGATTATATTGAAACCAATTAAATAGTTAACTATTCATATTGACTCAATTTTGAAAATAATTGTCATATTGACACCAATCCCATAATTGAGCGGTTATTCATATAATTTACTTTTTTTCTTTTTTATTTAGAGTAAATATAAGGTAGTATCTGTTCAAAGATAATTTTTAATAATTTGACATTGAACGCTCAATCCTTTGTCATTCTAGGTATTCGAATCCGAAACTTTGAAATATATCAATAATTCTTTTATCACCGAAATCATTTAATACCGAAATCATTAAATTCATACAATTTATTATATTTTCTCGAAACTCTTTATATATATAGCCTACACATCTTAGATTACGACGTACGTTGTCTTTAATCACTTTCTAACTACCAAGTGGTGCTTTTATTTTATTATTTATTTTTTGTGTTTTAATGTGGAAGGTTCTTTCAACCCTAAAAAACAATAGGATATTTTATATTAGAAACCTTAAATAAATAATTATTTAAAAAATAGGACTGTCTAGAAATTATTTGAAAGAATAACCCTCAAATCATCCACATAGGACGACCTCACAGCCTATAAACAGTGTGTTAAATCCTCGCACATTCCAACACGTGAGATACGTCTAATGTGGTCAGACTTTCTAGGTAAGCCAATAAAAGAATTAGATAAAATGACATCGCGCATTGTGAAGCGCGAGTTAGCCTGAGAACTAAAATATCACGAGATTTATGAGAGACCTCACAGACTACAACGCGCGAGGATATTTCAAATTGAAATTAATAACAAATAAATATAATAAATAAAAATAATAATTAATAATATTAATTATTAAATATAATAAAATAATTAAAATATAATAATAAATAAATATAGTAATTAAACTAGATATTTTATAAATAATAATTATAATATATTTTGTAAATATTGAAATAATGAAAAATTATATGTATAATATATTCAATATAATAAATAATTAATAATATATTATAATTATAATATATTTTAGATTTTATAATATAAAAGCTGGTATTAATATTTTGAAAATAGTAATCTCGCGCCTTGTAAACCGTGAGGTATTAACGGAAAAATATATTTAATTTTTTTAATTTTAAATTGTAAATGCGTATTGTTGCAATTTATCTTTAAGGTGAGTATAATATCATCATATATGATATAATTTAAGTGGGGTAAAAATGACTTTGAAAATGGTTAGAAATCATGATTTTGTGAAGGAAGAACAAAAAATGGTTTGATAGACATATTAGAATGTTATATCTGGCTTATATATAGAAGTGATTTCAAAATTTATAAGCTTAGAGGTATAGTATTGCAACTTATATTTATGTTGAGACTAATTTGGTCACATACGAGTATTTTAATGGGGGTAAAAATCGTGTTGGAATGCATGTTTTGGTGCATGAAGAAATCAAAAGAAATTGAAAACTAAGTAATATTTTTGTTAATTAAAAAATAAATAATACAAAAAGCCCATTTAATTGATATGTGGGCCTGAGCGATTGGGACATTTGTTCTTCATGTGTCCGGGATTCCTACATATAGAGCATAATTTCGGTTGTTCAGTTCTTTTTTAATGTTTGACCAAATCCACGTCACGAAAAATCTGGGTTAACCGTGGACAACCAGATTTTTTTTCATCATAGTGCATAATTTGATCGTATTGTAGGTTCATCATCAGCTTCATCCGGATTCCATTCATTTCCAATAGTCTGGGGGGTTACATTGTTGCTGAGCTAGCAAGTTGTTACTAAGCTACTGTCAAGTTGTTGATGAGTTGTTAAGATGTTAGGGTTACCTGCACAAGTTGTTAGGGTTAATTACTTGTATGCATACACTATAAAAGATCATTGAATTTGTATTGTTTAGCAAGAGGTTGA